GCTAGGGCAATGGAAAACCTAAGTAATGAACATAGCTATAGGAGTTCATATGTGGCCATTGCAATACTTCTATACTCAATTTTGATACTTGACTTGGATACAATTGGTTGTTTCTGGATGATTAGGAGAGTAGGTTGTTTCCAAGGTAGATGTAGCACCCTATTGAGATTTGTGATCATCCCAATCAACATCGCTGAATGCATGGATGATAGAGAGAAGATGCGAGTGTTAGACAAATGCCATGAAACCTTAGTATCCTCTTTATAGCCTAGGGGTGAGCATGGGTCAGTTTGGTTTGGTTCCATGCATGGCATAACTTAAAACCTACCATTAGGGGTCAGTTTCAGGATTTTGGAACCGGAACCTACCATGTGAAAGTCAATTCTAGCTTTGGTGGTTCCAGGGTCAATTTAGGGTCTACCCGTGGAACCTGTTTTTCTTTACTATCCCACTTATAAAAACATGTTTTGTAAAATATTGATTTTCAATTAATACAATATAAACTTATGTTATTTTTATTGATTAAATTGAGTACTTCATATGTAGATTATTGGAATATATTAATATATGGTTCAAAACTAATTATTATAGTTTAAATTTTATAAATATTGCCCTGTGCATTACTTATTATACACATTCAAATATTAAAATGAAAAACAAATAATCAATCATTTAAGTAACTCAATAGTTAAGTGAGACCATGGTTTTTTTTTGTAATCATGAGTGCTTAAGTTCAAATCTTCACATCCTCAAAAGTATTTTGGGATTTATTTCAAAACAAGTTCGGTTTCACCGAGGTAGGGTAAATCCCTAAACCCTAAAACCAACTTGGAAATTCATAAAAAGCATGGAAATTCGACCATACATTGGAAACATCTTCCATGAATTTAATATAAATATATGAGATTCTCAATGTGTGGGTGGATGCTATTCAAAATTCTATTGCAACATAGTCATAAGGCATTGGGGGTCAAAACTTAAATGCCAATATCATTCACATAAATCAAGAAGAATGTACATGCCAAGAGCCACGTTAAACGAAGAGTGAATATAATCAGATTTGAAACAAATAAGTGTTCGAAAGTGTGACTTGTGGTGCAGACCATTTTGGTATGCACCATGAGAATAGTTGCATCTCAATTAGAGTACTAGCGGGGACCTGTGCGGTGCACGGGATTTATTAAGAAAAAGCTAAATAATAGAAATGGTCATATAATAAAATACCCCTTATAGTTTTATGGATTTGCTAAAATCTACCGTATAGTTAGCATTTTACTAAAACACCACTTATAATTTGCAATGGATTTAATCAATTTTCCATTAGATGATAGTGAAAAATGACAGTGTTGACCCTAATGTTCATTTAAAGAAATTTAATCAAAACAAAATAAAAATACCATTTTTGCCCTTAATAAGACACGGGCATCCACTCTATTGGCTATATTTGGTCAATTTTGTTTTTTATACAAAAAAGTGTTAAGGGTATTTTTATAATAAAAAATCATGGGCCTAATGGCAAAACAAACACTTCTTAATGAAAGGTTAATTAAGTAAATAAGTTGTAAAATATATGGGATGTTTTAGTAAAATGAAAAGTATAAGGTAGGTTTAAGTAAATATGCAAAACTATAAGGTGTGTAGGAATGGCAACGGGGCGGGGATCATATTCCCCTTTCCTGACCCTGATTCTGAAATTAACCCCATCCCTGATCCCTGACGGGAATGGGTTCCCCGTGGGAACCCGAATCCCCAAAATGTTTTCAAATAATAGTATTTTTTAAAATAAATTTATTTAATAAATAAAAATTTTAAATTATAAATAATGTTTTAAATATGTTTTGATATATATATATATATATAATATACATAATATAATAGTATATTTAATATAAATAACATTTAATATATATATATATACATAATCGGGGTCGGGGTCGGGGCGAGGCAAGGACCTTAATCCCCAACCTTGACCCCAACCTCGACCAGGGATTCCTATTAATCCCCGTCTCCGTCCCCTCCCTGCCCCGCCAAAACAATCCCCTGTCCCAGCCCCATCGGGTCGGGGAATTCGGGTCCCCGTCGGGGATGGGGAAAATTGTCATTCCTAAAGTGTGTTCTAATAACTAATAAAAACACATAAGAGTATACAATTGTTTTATATTTTCAACTTTTTAAGTAATTAATAATTATTCATATTTTATATACTACTTTTAATAATTTTTTTATAATACAGAAATAATAGTAATTAACTCAAGTTAGGTTTATTTATCAAATTGATGAAACCGATCAACCCAATTAACTCGTCCCGAGTTGGTCGGTTTTCTAGTATTTTAGGTTGGTTTTGGTTAAAAAATTTCCCAATTCGACCAAGTTGGATTAATTTCACTTTGGCCATTTGTAAACCAACCAAAATCGAACGACCTAACCATATATATATATTATTTTAAATATAATTTTTAATATAGAAAAGTGGAAATTTTCCCATATTTCTTAGTTTAAAATGTTTTATATCATAAATCTAATTTTTACATTTATTTTTTAATAATTGCACTATAATTTTTAAAATTAAATTAAATTTTTAAGTTTAAATCTTTTGAACAGACTGACCAAACAAAAAATTCGACCCAAACCGATACAACTTGTGTGGGTTCGTTCTCACAAAAGGTTAGTTGGTTTTAGCTAACCAACTCCCTAACCTGACCAGGTCAATTTGGTTGGCGAAATAGCCTACGATTGAACCAAACCAACTCATGTATACTCATAATTTCAACTAAATTAATAGTCTTATCTCTGATAAATAACAATAGTTTAATCTTCAATAATTATTGAAAATTTAAAGCAAAAATACACAATTATTAAAAATATATTGATAATGAAAAATACAATAATTACAAAAATACAATAAGTACTAAAAATATAATAACTTAGTCAGTAAATAGTATAATCCCAAATAATAGTTTAATCTCTAATAAATATTAACCAATAACTTATAACAAAAATACAATAAATACAATAAGTACAATAAATTAAATTTAAAAATTTCAACAATAGTAATTTAATCTCCAATAATTATTGAAAGTTTTCTATTAAATAACAAAACAAAATAAATTTATACATAATCACAAAAGATAATAAATATTAATTTTAGTATATATAATTAGATAATAAATACAAATTAAGAGTTTAAAATTATTATTAATAAATATTAATTTTCATGAAAGTTATTCTCTCAAATTATTACTTGATATAAGTGAAATTAATTATTTACAATATCATGTAAAAATATTAAATTATTATTAATTTCAATATTATGTTATAATCAATTTTCTACTTTTTAGATTTTTTTTTAATTTATTACATAATTTCATTATTAATTTTGTAATATATTGAATTATTATTAATTTCAATATATTTTGTGTTTTTAATAAATATTTTAAACTTATTATAGAATTTTGTTAGAATATTTAAATAATTCTTAAATTTTTAATCCCAACTTTGTTTAGATAGATATAGATAAAAAGTAGGGGAGAGGATAAATAGGAATTAGAGATAATGTAGGAGAGAAACTCTCTAGTAAATTAGAGATAATTTTGGAGATAAATAGGAATTTGAGATAATTTCGAAGATAAATAGGAATTAGAGATAGTTTTGGAGAAAGTGGGAGAGGTAGTTTAGGAGTAATTTTACGAGAAAATATTATTTAGGTTATTGGAAAAGTGCATCTCATCAGTTGTTTCAAAAATGAAATGAAATAATAAAAATAAAAAATTCAAAAAAAAGAAAAACTTTCTTGACAGCTTTGTTTTAATATATATATATATACATATTTATATTTATATAGATATAGATAGATAGATAGTGTGGATTGATCTACAATATATCATGGATTGGTCCACATTGTATAACAATTTGTCGTCTATCAAAAACACTTTGTTTGTTCCCTTCCACTATAATGAAATACCAAAAGAATTATCCATTACTTTACATTTTAGCTTAGCTAAATTATTTCACCCAAAAGATTACCATCGGAGAATACCGCCATTGAGAGCACTGCCATTTCTACCATTCCTTCATCACTTTTACTCTTTACATTTAATAATTTTTTATTTAAAAAAAATGACCAAAATGTCCGTCCATCTAGGTCAAGGACGGTTTGAAAATTATGGTTTTTATGCTTTTGGATTTTCACTATTCAAAGGTTTTTTCTACTGTGGGCTTTATTCAAGCATGTGTGATATATTCCTTTTTTTTTCCATTTTCTACTTTGGTTGAGTTAGGAAGGAGTACAAATGTAAATATGTACAGTGCAAATACATACAAAATAATACAAAATACAAGGTTTTGCACTCTACATATTTGTATTTGTACTCCAAACTCAGCCTTTTGTTTTTTTTTGTGTTTGGTCTTTTTCTTTAAGATCCTCCAAAATGGTCTAGGGTTTACCACCATTTTATTTATTCCCTTTTGTTTTTTCTTTGGATTTTCTTGTACAAGTTTTTTTTTTTACAAGACGATCTACTTTTATCTCTTTCTTTGATTGTATGTATGTTTGGCTCCGTCTCAAAGCAGTTACACTTGATTTTTTTTTATTTTTTCCTTGGTTTTTCCAGTTTGGTGGATTTACTGCCATTTTTTTTTTGTGTTTAAAGTCACTTTGGATTTATCTTTCAAGGTTTTGGAATCCTTGGCAATGTCCACCCTTCTCATGACTATGGCTACAAAGTTATTCCATCTAATTATTGACATTTAGAAAAAATGACCTGGAAACAAAACCGTTATGGCCACTGGTTTTCAGGTCAACGGTTCGACTGTCTGGTCTTCGAATGGCCCGTTCTGACAATAAAAATTAAAAAAATAATTAAAAATAAGAATGGTCAAAAACCATTGAACAAATCGTTGACTGATTCAATGATTTTTGGCCAGAGACCAGGTTTGGGTACGGAACCGGTTGCAACCCAGAAGGTGTTAATCACTTGATCCCCATAGCCCAACGGCCCAAACACACAAATGGTAAAATCTCACAAAACCCTCTCACTCTAAAACCCTAGAAACCCCCCAGTATCCTCACCTTTCATTCTCTCCCTCTCACTCTCTGTCTCGAGCGCGCGCACACACACACAGACGACTCACTCAGATTGTCAGACATGTCCGAGATTGAGTTCTCGCGCTCAGAAAAGAAGAAGAAGAAGAAGAAAAGCAGCGGCATCAACGAAGAGGGTCAAGAAGAAAATGGAGGAACCAAATCTCTGGTACCCTTCGATTCTGCGCCGACCCAGAACGACGATTACCTGATCAAACCTCAGAGCTTCACTCCTTCCTTAGACACCTCCCAGTGGCCAATCCTCCTCAAGAATTACGACCGCCTTAACGTCCGCACCGGTCACTACACTCCTCTTCCCTCCGGTTACTCTCCTCTCAAGCGCCCCCTTGATCAGTACATACAGTACGGTATCATCAATCTCGACAAACCTGCTAACCCATCTTCTCACGAAGTTGTGGCCTGGATTAAACGTATTCTCCGAGTTGATAAGACCGGCCATAGCGGAACCCTTGATCCGAAAGTCACTGGCAACCTCATCGTTTGCATCAACAGGGCGACCCGACTCGTAAAATCTCAACAGGGTGCCGGAAAAGAGTACGTCTGCGTTGCCCGGCTTCATTCTGCGGTGCCCGATGTCGGCAAGGTGGCTCGAGCACTTGAGACGCTTACTGGAGCTCTGTTTCAGCGGCCGCCGCTGATTTCTGCTGTCAAGCGCCAGCTTCGGATTCGAACGATYTACGAAAGTAAGCTTCTCGAGTATGACCCAGATAAACATTTGGTTGTTTTTTGGATTTCTTGCGAGGCAGGTACCTATGTAAGGACGCTTTGTGTTCATTTGGGTCTGATTTTGGGCGTCGGAGGGCATATGCAGGAGCTCCGGCGTGTTCGGTCCGGTATTTCGGGTGAGAAGGATAACATGGTTACCATGCACGATGTGATGGATGCTCAGTGGCTTTATGATAATTACAGAGATGAGAGTTATCTGAGGCGGGTTATCATGCCCCTTGAAGTACTGTTGACGAGTTACAAGAGGTTAGTTGTGAAGGATTCGGCGGTTAATGCTATCTGTTACGGTGCCAAGCTGATGATACCAGGGTTACTGAGGTTTGAAAATGATATTGAAGTTGGTGAGGAGGTTGTGCTGATGACCACCAAGGGGGAGGCAATTGCATTGGGTATTGCGGAGATGACAACAGCAGTAATGGCGACTTGTGATCACGGTGTGGTGGCAAGGATTAAGAGGGTAGTGATGGATCGAGATACTTATCCAAGAAAATGGGGATTGGGGCCGAGGGCTTCAATGAAGAAGAAGCTGATTGCAGATGG